GGCGTGGACAAGTCTTAACTTTTATAAAGAATATCTCTTTGGATTTGAGACTTTAGTCTTTGCAACTTTAGGGATCTTATCTATGCACGAACAGCTTGTAACACTCCAAAGAGAAAGAAAAATTTTAAATTGCATCTTATGACCCCTTTAACACTTGACACTTACCACTGAGAAACGTCCCGCTCCAGTCGTGCTTGCGAATCAGTCTCTTGTCGATCAGCCAGTTCAACCGTTTCATCATCAGACTCCGGCTCGAATTGGTAAGGTAAGGGGTCATATGATGTTGCTAAAAAGAACATTATTTTGTGTATTTGGCGTAATGAAATGTTTATGCAGTTTAAGGTTAAAAACACATTATTTTCCACATACTGTACATTATTGTTTCTCCTCTGTGCCCCGACTTTCTGAAACGCATTGATTTTTACAAGGCTCATTGGTCTGAAAAGCAAGGTGTGCTCTGATTGGCCAGCTATACAGTGCGTTATGATTGGCCGAATGAAACGTCCGGCTCCAGTCGTGCTTGCGAATCAGTCTCTTGTCGATCAGCCAGTTCAACCGTTTCATCATCAGACTCCGGCTCGAATTGGTAAGATACAATTGATACTATCTTTTCTATGTATTGACCGTTTCATTTCCGACATGCACTGTACGCTGTAGACCAATCCAGAGCCAATTTCTCTGCGGCTCTGGACCAATCACAAAGGAGTGCACCATCTGACCAATCATAGCAGTGAGGGCTCACGGAAAGGAGGGGTTTAGAGAAACTGATTCTTTGCACTGCTTCGTACGAGTCGTTTACGAATCATTTAGAAATGAGGTAAAATTAAATCTATTTTTTGAGAAAACGAACGTGTTTTTTGACCTTGCATGCATGTAAACCTGTTTTAGGAGACTCATAAAACAATATTAGCAAGCTTAAAAATGGCATAATAGGGGCACTTTAACTGTTGGAGAAAACTGGTTAATTTTAAGCTTTTTTGTGCTATTTTCAACTTCCGGGTTTAAAATCTACATCGTGTTGACGTCACAATTTGTGAAATACATCGATGACGCATCAGTGTCTATTAAATTATTCATGAGACTGCGTGTTCTTATCCTATGAGAAGACGTTTCTCCTCTGTGCCCCGACTTTCTGAAACGCATTGATTTTTACAAGGCTCATTGGTCTGAAAAGCAAGGTGTGCTCTGATTGGCCAGCTATACAGTGCGTTATGATTGGCCGAATACCTCAAGCATGTGACGGAAATGTTTACGCCCCTTACCATACTGTGATGGAGTGACGAGGTCACAATTTGTGAAATACATCGATGACGCATCAGTGTCTATTAAATTATTCATGAGACTGCGTGTTCTTATCCTATGAGAAGACGCTTCGCTTAATTATTCACAACAGCATGTTTTATTTTGCTTAGACAGATGCTTCAGATTGTGAGATCACGCACATTAACTGAGTGAGAGTGTTTGTTTTTGCTTTATAATAAGAGTTCGGCACAAACGGGATTCATTCACTTAGTGAGTGTAACCATTTCTACAGCTCCGTGACACAAGCCGTCAAAATGCTTATATAAACATTTACATTTAGACATATAAACGCAGCCTAAAAAGTTCAGAGGTGCAACAGTGCGTTCATATATGTGTTTTCGATGCAGAGTGCAAATGGCTGTGCATTTATTTGGTTTTAACTCGATGGGAGTGAAAAGAAACTGTCTGATCCCGAAGCTGTGTGTGTTGTCTTTCTCCCATCTTCCCCCTCTGTTCCGCTGCGCAACACTTTTTTAAAACATTTTTAAAAACTGTAGTGAGAACTAACCAGTGCTGAAACAGGGTTTCATGACCCTTTAAAATCCTTTAAAGAGGTCATATGATGCAATTTCAATTTTTCTCTTTGGAGTGTTACAAGCTCTTGGTGCATAAAAAAGATCTGTAAAGTTGCAAAGACTAAAGTCTCAAATCCAAAGAAATATTCTTTATAAAAGTTAAGAGTCAACCATGCCTACCTAAAACGGCTCATTCTAACATGCCCCCACATGTCTACGTCACGATGTGGGAAGATTTGCATAACACTGCCCAAATGTTCACGCAAAGAAAGAAGGCTTAACATTTATTCTCACTGTTGCCGCCACCGCCATGTTGTGGAGACGCTGTGTGTTTCATTGTGAAAGCAAAACTACTTTGTTTGGCCTTCCAAATGTGGACAATATCCGCTTCGTCATGCCTAGAGCTGATACGTGCTGGTCGCTGAGGAAATACATCAACTTCGCGCTGTAGATCGCCAAATCGGCTTTCACCGTGGACGAAGCGGAGTCCAGCCCAGGGTCGTCACATGTGGTTGCCGCAAGCCTTCCGGCCGCGCCGTTCTCAAGCCCGCTGGCCGTTCCTCACTCAAGCCCGCCGGCCACCGCTCACTCTAGCCAGCCGCCGCTCACTCAAGCCCGCCGTGTGTGACGCTGTGTGTTTCATTGTGAAAGCGAAACTACTTTTTTTGGCCTTCCAAAAGAGGACACGACTAGAAATCAGTGGTTAAGTTGTATTTACAACACTGTTCCAGAACAGTTCAACCCAAATATTCAGATGTGTGCAGCGCATTTTATGGAGGTCTGTTTCCTGATCCTGGGAGACTAGACAACATAAGTCGTCCGGTCAGAGATGAAGTACACTTTAATGGTTTAAGACTCGTAGAGGTTTACAGTCCTTGGATTTGGTTGAGAGAATGATTGTAGTACAGGTAGCAGAGAGTATGGCAGAGTAGTACAGAGTAGTTTGGAGTGTAGCTTAGTACGAGTGGTTCTAAACAAACAGAACAACAATAACCAATTAGTAATGAAATATAAACTCACTCTGTTACTTATACATAATATATATACTTAAACATAATAGCAATATAGCATAGTAGCAAATTAGTGATATAACGATCGATTCAGACATGTAAAGACTAGATTAGCACTTGTGAAACTGGCATCATGTTCTCTGACACGTGAGCTCGGAAGAACCGATAAATATGGCTTAAATACCACAAACAATCTCACTTATTCAGTAAATAATAATATACACATACTCAAAGTGACTTCAAGTTTACAATATTATACACCAATATTGCTATTTAACCATCTCTCATATGCATTCACTGGCTCCGTATGTATGATGCAATACACAATGCGTGTGGCGCACATACATGATTATAATTAGCATCTAGCGATAACACAAACTTATGCCTTCAAAATACAGCAATTTAAAGATAATGAATAACATAAACCCCATCACTCACTTGTGTATGAACGCACTCAATAGAAAACAACAACAGCTTGAACAACAGCTTGAACAACACAACAGCGAATAATGTCTGTGCTCTGAACTGCGTCCTGTTAAAGGGGTCATATGATGCGATTTTCAAGTTTTCCTTTCTCTTTGGAGTGTTACAAGCTGATTGTGCATAGATAAGATCCCTGAAGTTGCAAAGACTAAAGTCTCAAAACCAAAGAGATATTCTTTATCAAAGTTAAGACTCTGCCACACCCCCCTAAAACGGCTCGTTCTAACACGCCCCCACATATCTACCTCACTATGTGGAAATATTAGCATAATGCCGCCCAAATGTTCACGCAAAGAAAGAAGGCGTGGTTTCAGTAACCGCAGTTAGTGTTGAAGCAGCATGTCAGGGAGACGCTGTGTGTTTCTAGGTGAAAGCAAAAGCACTTTATTTGGCCTTCCGAAAGTAGATGCATTTAGGAATCTTTAAGATCACTTACAACAGAACAGCAATGCATTTTATGGACGACCGTTTCGTGAACCTAGGAGAGGAGGTAATTCTGACTTTGCTATGACAATCTAGCGCCTCTGAATCAGCTACTGTTTTGTTATTAGTTTAAGTATTTATAATATAATATATAAATACAGCTATAATATAATATAGCTATAGGTCAATATGTTTGACGTTCAGTTTACATCAAATCAACATTGTGTCAAGTTTTTGACATCAGCTTGATTTACATATTTGAACTGTTTTTTGATGTCAATTTGAAGTATTTTGAACAATTATTTGTTAAAGCAGCACTATGTAACTTTTTCTGTGTTCAACGTGTATGTAATGAGCGAGTACATCATGAATTAATCTTCCAAACCGCGTTTTTGTCTTATTCCGATTCACTACAGACTGCGCTTGTCGGAAGGAGGGACTTTGTAGAAAACGAAGTGTTTGAGAGAGGCAAAACGTATAGAGGACCTACAATAATGTACAGTATTTGAAAAATAATGTG